TGACTCTCCTTTATCCCCTATAGCAAGGTGGAGAAGCCCTTATAAAATCACTTTCACCTTCTCCAGTGTGCCAGAGTAATTAGGTCCTTTGACACCAAAGAGATCTTCTTCTTCCCAAAACTTTCCTCAAGAAAAACCTTGAATCTAATGGTATTAAGATTCAAGCTTGTCGGAGCAACCGTGTAAAATCTGTTGAGATTCGTTCACTATGAATTAGGTTGTTAAACCTAAGCTTATGTCCCAAGGCTATCCAAGAGGGGGGGTGAATTGGTATTTAAAAAAATATATCCCTTTTGAGTATGTTGAACCGAAAATAAACTTTTAATGAATTTAAAAAAAAAAATCGACCACAATTTTTATAACAAAATAAAATGCGGAAAATTAAAAATAGTAAAAATAAAAGACACAAAATTTATAGTGGTTTGATCTAAACCAGACCTACATCCACTCCCCTGAGGCACCCTCAGAGTATTGCACTAATACCAATAGTGACTCTCCTTTAGCACCCACGGCAAGGCGGAGAAGCCTTTACAAAAACTCTTTCCACCACTACCCGGTGCGGTAGAGAACTGTCTTCCTTTTACACTTATCCCCAGTGTTGGTAGAGAACCGTCCGTCCTTTCACACTCTCCTAGTGTGGGCAGAGAACCCTTCATCCTTTCATACTCTCCTAGTGTGGGCAGAGAACTCTTCATCCTTTCACACTCTCCTAATGTGGGCAGAGAACCCTTCATCCTTTCACACTCTCCTAGTATAGGCAAAGAACCCGCGACTGTTCACACTCTCCAAGTGTCGGCAGAGAACCGGATTTCCTTGACAGATCTTCTCATAAGAATTCTAGAATGAAGAAAGAAAAGAGTGAAGTAATCCCAAATCACAAGTAGAGATTCTTACCTTTGAACACCAAGCAAAGCCTTCATGCTCCAGTAGTAGGAATCCTCCTTTGAATGCTCTCTCACACTCTCTCCTTGACTCTTCTTTTAATAGGCATGAAGATCAAATGGCAAAAAGATTGGGTGGTGGTCTAAATTTGACTATATATATGAGAGACAAGAAAAGTCGTTCAAAACTGCAAATTTTTCAAGTCAACATGAAATGAATCGTCCCGTACGATCGTGGATCATCCTGGATGATTTTACTTAAAGTGTCGGAAATGATCCTTATGTATATTGGTACGAACTATGTTCGTACATGATCATCATCTCGTACGAACTAGGTTCGTCCGGTATGATCCGTTATACCATAGGTCGGTTCCCAAATAACTGCATGGATGTAACCAATTTTTGTAAGTCGGTTCACATCATCCTGAGACTAACAGGACTTCGTCCGGACAAAATTTTTGCAGAGAGAAACTCGTCCTGGCACGATAATGAACTTCATATGAGCGAAATTTTTACAGAGAAGAATTCGTCCTGGAACGATTTGGATTTTATCTGTATGAAATTTTTACATAGAAGAAATCGTCCTGGCACGATTATAGATTTCGTCTGAAAGAAATTTTTACAGAGCCTATTTGGTCCTGGGACGAAAATAATTTTGTCCTGGACGATCAGGACTTAGAAAAATTTCCTCCAACTCATGTTCGTTCCATTGCTCTTACGGGGAGAAAAACTGACATGATCGTCCTGTACGAACTATGTTCGTCCCGTACGATTAGTACAAATTTGTAAGATCTCCTTAAGTAAGTGTGTGTGTGTGTTTTTTTATTCACTTAATTACAATCACTCCCTCTCAATTCAAAGAACGATTTAAAGCTTCAATTTGTGAGGAATTGTATGCTGAATTTGATTTGAAGTCTTTATAGTTTGTAGTTCAATTTTCCTGAAATATTAGTACACAAAAGAGTAAAAATAATTCTTCCAAAAAGTGTTAGGAAATAATTGCACATAAAACAAATATATTTAAAATCATCCAAATTATACAAGTTGTAAGAATGTAACATATGCAAATATCAACTTTCTTAACAAAACCCCCTCCACACTCCCATGAACTCCACAAAGATCTTCTTCCTCTCAAGCTCCACCCTTTCCTCTCTCCCTTTCAAGGATCTTTTTTCAAGTTTTCTCTAGAAGAACGGAGACTCAATGCATGCCAAAGACACTTACAATATCTTTGGAGAAAGCTTAAATAGAGGGCTTCAAAAACCCTAAAAATTTAAATTATGCGGACAAAGATCGTATAGTACGATCCTCAGATTGTCATGTACGATTAGTTCAAAATAACTCTTTCAACCGATATGATCAGTATTGCACTATACGATCAATTCTAGTATTTGAGCATATCGTCCAGCATGATATTGAGATAATCCGAGATGATTAGTTCAATCGAAATGCAATTCATCCAGGATGAAACTTGGGATGTCCAAAATCATCTATATTGATCGTCTAGTACGATCCAGTTTGTACAGTATGATCATAATATTAAAATTAAGCATATTCAATTAACTAATTACATAATTAATTTATGCATGATTATCATAGATCGTCCAGTATGATATGCATCATATTGAACGATTAGAATAAAATATAAAATTCAAAAACTTGCCTGAATTATAACTGGTGGCTATTTTTCATGATCGTAACTAATCTTACTAGATGGTCTAAATCATCTAGTATGATTTGTTAGATAAGATGATCGTACATTACGATATAAATCATATAATATAATTAGTTCAAAAGTTTAACTTCTAATTTTGACTCAAACTTACTCCCCCTAAGTGTATGTGTGCATGGTCACTAAGCTAGCATACACTCTTATAGGACTTGCCTTAAAAAAAATAAAAAATATATTAATGAATATTACAAAAAAATTATAGTATAACTTGTTTTACTTAATCTTAAGCCATGAGTCTTCGATAAATGGTGCATGATGTTCCTGAAATATTAGTACATACAAAACAAAAATATATTGCAAATACAAGTAGACATAAGGATACGAGCCACAATGTTTGTTATCATCAAAAATATAAACTCGTAAGCTCGAGTTGCAACATTGCCAACTAAGGTTATTAGTAGTTAAAAATAGTAGTGATCGTATCATACCTCTATTCCTCTTCAAATTTACTTGCCTTCCAATGAGGTCCTTATCCAATTATGTAATAGGGCTCATCAAGGTATTCATATTCATTCATCCTTCCATATTAAAATTTTTTTATTAATTTCTTAATATATCTTTTTTTACTTAAAGAGGTACCATATTTTCTTTATTTTATATTAAACCTTGGGAAGTAAGTCATGTGACTCATCATACTCATTTTAAATTCATAACTCATAGTAGATCCTTCATATAACACCTTATTTGTGAATTCAAATAATATATCATCTACATATGTTTTTTCTATCAGAATATCAAACCTTGTTCTTTTGAAAGATAATTTGATATCTATGATCACTTTTGCAAATGATTTATCTAATGGAATATACTAGCCTTTCATACCATGACCTGGGTATTTATTTCAGTCCATATAATGCATTTTCCAATGTATAAACATGATCAAGAAATAAAGCAATCTCAAAACTAGAGCTTTTTTATAACCCTCCTTTTTATAACTTTATGTAGAAATACACTTGTTTAGATTCATTTGATATAATTTGATTTCTCTAAAACATGCAAAGGCTACAAAACCCTAATATCTTCTAATCTTTCCACTAGAGTAATGGGTTCCTCAAAGTATGCTTCTTTTATTAGATTATACCCTTTTACTGCCAATCTTATCTTATTTCTCAATACTAGTCCAGAGTAATTGAAGTTATTATTAAGTACCCATTTATCATCACTGACACTCTAATCAGTAGGTCTAGATATTAATTCTTATACATTATTCCTTGTAAATTAGTTCAATTCTTCTTGCATAAGTATAATCCAAAACTCATATATTAAGGTTTCATTTATAATGGTGGGTTCAACCATTGAAATAAAGGTTGTATGACTAATCCTAACTCCATTAGAAGGATCTTTAAAAATCAAGTCCTTAGGAATAAACTTAGTTGAAAACATAAGTCCAAAATTTTTAGGTATTTGTGATCATCAAAATCTAAAAGACACTTGAGCTTATGGTTCAACAATACCCTCAATCCTTAGTTTTATTTTCAAGTAAATACTAAATCTATTTGGCCATCTTCTTTCTATTTTTCTTCATACAATACAAAAATATTAATATTTGATTTATATTTAGAAAATATTTTATCAACATATAACTTCCTTATTGTTCGATTATGATTCAAAACAAGATCGAACAAAATTTGAATCGTGTTTGAAAAAGATTTGAGGTATATTTTAACCTTATTCAAATCATTTTCAAGCACAGCTTATTTTGTCGTGATAAAACAAAAAACATAATTATTATCCATACTAGAAACAGTTTTTAAAATAGCTTTAGAGGATGAAGAAGATATTAGATATGCAAAATGAGTGGATGTCTCTTCACCATAAAGACTATATGGAGTGTAGCTCTAATCATATAAGAAAATAAATAAATGAAAAAGTTATTATATTTTTTTCCAATATGATTAGACATATATATATAAAGTTATATATATATATATATGCATTTTATTTTTCTAAATTCGTTTCATTGGCCAAAACAAGAGATTATTCTGTGCGGACACCAGACCTTTCGAAAGTGAATCAAAGAACGCCACATCACCCAATATACCGCAGTACACAGCCGCAATACACAACTAAAGGATGACATTGTGCGCTCTGATTCGAATCTGGACAGCATCCAGTATCCGCACAAAAAAAAATTTCCCAAAATAGAGGCCTTTTACTTCAGCAGCTCATCATATAAGAACTGCTTCAGGAGACTCAGAGGCTCCCGCATCTCAACCTGTTCCACACAGCCAAACCATTAATGCTTTGTTATGCTTCATTTGAGATGATTTTTTTAACTATTTTAAAAAGAAATAAAAAAGTCATGTCAAACAAAACCTTAAGTTTTAATTTCTCCTCCACAATGAGAAATTCACATAGCAGTAAAATAGCAACAATATCATCATCATCATCATTTCAAAATCAATCTTCCCTTCATAGAATAAAATTCACAATTTGGTTTTTTTTTTTTTTTTCTGAGCTGAAATGTATGAAAAACAATAAAATGCCTGCTTATCTGTAATTCCCTAGAAATACAATGTCACTCAAAAAAAACAACATTCACAATGCCACATTAAGGTATAAATTTATAGAGATAGAGATATATATATATAAATATATACCTTTCCAATCAAATTTTCAGCACAGCGCAGCCAAGAATGCTTCCACTACACCGAGTCATTGGCGAAGCCTGTCGCCAAATCGGCCATTTGCTGTTCACAGATAGAACATCAACGTCTCGAAGCTGCTTGATAGACTGATTAGTCGGTCCTGGTCCAATCACTCCGCCGATGACATACAAATCATCCCCGAGCCCAATCATTCCAAATCCGATTCTGCTTTTGAATTCTGGCGCAGAAGACACCAATTTATCAAGAACAGTATTATCTTTCTGACTGCTCTCCTTATGCTGCTTCAGAATGAACCCTCCATTTAGAACATAGAGCTCTTCTCTAACAACAGCCATTGGACCCTGAAGCCAACCAAAGTCCTTAACTGACCATTGCTGCCTATCTTCCAGAATCTGAACTACTGAGAGGCCTTTGTGCAAGACATGGATCTTACCATCAATTACTACACCAGAGCAGACTGAAGTATGGGTGTGGAGAAGATCGGGGAGCGATCGCCATGTATCGGTATCGGGATCATAGATCTCGGCCTTCGAAATTGATTTCCGGAAACTCGTGAAACCTCCGGCAACAATAATCTTTCCATCTATGGAGCAGCAGGCGAACATCGCACGAGGAACGAGCATGTTGGCTCGTCGAGCCCATTCATGATATAAGGGATCATAGGACCAGACCTCACTGGTGGCAAAGATGCCATCATGATCACCTGTGAGTGGATCAACCCTGTCGCTGCCACCTCCAAGCACAAACAGCTTGCCAGCTACAGAGGTCACGCCAAAACGTGCAAGGTGTCTGATCTGGGATGGCATGACAGGAAGAGTTAGCCAATGATCCCTACATGGGTCATAAAGCTGCCAAACATTTTCAGGGTCAAAGGCTAGAACACAGAGAAGCTCCTCGGAGGCACCGATTTCATGGCGAACCTTCAATAACTCGGAACTGCAGAGTGCAGCTCTCCATGATCTGGAAACAAGCCGGAGATTTTGATGGTAGTAGAAGGGAACTCGTGCAAGGCAATGATGGGCAACTGCATCGGGAAGACCTTCAATAAGGGCAGACATAATATCATGGGTCATTCAGATTAACCTTTGGAAGATATATTGAGTTGATGTGGATGGAACCTGAAATAAGAATAAGGAATTAAGCAATCTATGAGGGCGACAACAATGGATGACTAAAGTGGCAATAATAGGATAATGATCAAAGGAAATGAAAATTTAATGCCAGCCACCAGTCTTATATTTCCTGGACAAAAGCATATGGAGGAAATATAAACAGTGAACAGCATACTCATAACTCTTTAAATTAGCACATTTTAGTGCAACCAAACCTAGCGATATCAAATGTAAGTAATGGAAGTTGGCACAAACAAATAAATGGTGGGGACAAAAAGCATTAAAAACATATTTAGACACCAATGGTACACAATGAGGGAGCGGAAAACATCTTCTTTCCCCATTGGTTTCTAAGCTTGATCAAGATTGCCACTGCATATTGTATACTTGTGAGGGTGTGAATGTACCAGTGAGTGAAGATTTGATAGAATTATTTATCAGATACTAACGAGAATAGAATCAGAAAAGCTTCATGCAGGCTATTCTATACATATTTTAGCATCTACTGGTAGACTTTAAAAGAAGAATTGAAAGCTTCCTTTGCAGATGGCTTCAGTTATCCATGATTAGATATCTAACTAATAAATTTAAGAAACATGAAAGATATTTAAAGGAAATTCCTGGGTCTCATTGGTGAAGCAATATCAGCATAATATGCTTCGGTTTTGATTTAGTATCAATCATAAAAAAGTTCCATTATACATGAATCATGAACATGAAAACAAATGCAGTATAAGTTTCCTAGTGCGCTAAAGAATATATCTGATGTTGTATGCGAACTTTCAAAAAACTCAGTATAACAGCAGGCTAACACTTCTCATTCTAGAAGTAATCTCATTCCATTTTTTATGTTCAAGAACTATCAGGTCAATTCATCTAAAATAATTGTGAAGAAGCAGAATAATGTAGCATAATGCTTATATTCAAATCATTAAAGATATGTATGCAGGAGCTATTAGTCATGGATGGGGTAAACACAAGGTCGATTGACCAAGTATTTCCCTATTTCGGTTGGGTTACATCAAGGATCAGCCGTAAGCCCATATCTTTTTGCATTAGTCATGGATGTTCTCACTAGACATTTGCAAGAGGATGTACCTTGGTGTATGCTTTTTGCTGATGATATTCTTCTTGTTGATAAGACTAGAGAGGGAGTTGAAGGTAAACTTGAATTATGGAGGTCAACCTTAGAGTCTAAAGGTTTTCGCTTGAGTAGATCTAAAATGGAATATATGGAGTGTAATTTTAGTAGTAATAGACCTAGTGAGGGGATTGTGACTTTGGGCGATCAAGTCATTAATAAGAGTACACGTTTTAGATATCTTGGATCTATTATTCAGAGTGATGGTGAAATAGATGGGGATATTATCAGCAGAATTCAAGTTGGATGGTTGAAGTGGAGGAATGCATCGGGCTTGTTATGTGATAGAAATGTACCCCTCAAACTTAAGGGAAAATTCTATAAGATGGTAGTGAGGCCTGCAATGCTTTATGGTGCCGAATGTTGGCCTTTAAAAAAGAAGCATAATACTAAGTTAAGTGTGGCAGAGATGAGGATGCTCAGGTGGATGAGTGGCTTTACCCTTAGAGATATAATACGAAATGAGCATATACATGAAAAGGTTGGAGTAGCTCCAGTAGAAGATAAGATTAGAGAAAGTCGTCTTAGATGGTTTGGTCACATAAAACGGTGGCCTTGCGATGACCCGGTTAGGAGAGTAGAGGTTTTAGATTTGACTTATGTTAAGAAAGGTAGGGGTAGACCTAAAAAGACTTGGTTAGAAAATATTAGGAATGACCTTTCTTTATTAGATTTAAACGAGAATTTGACTTTTAATCACAATGGAGAAAAAGGATTCATGTAGCCGACCCCACGTAGTGGGATAAACGCATGATGTTGTTGTTGTTGTTGTTGTAGAATAATGTAGCATAACCATAAAAGCTACTTTCCAATCATGACATCTTTTACAAGCTTGCCCATCTTAATTATATCAACAAAAATCTTCTAAAGCTTTTTAATATATGGTTAGGCATGTTGCGTTGGATAATTCAACACCACCAATTTCAGCCGTACCAAATTGCGTGGAGTTGATGAATCCTTCTGGCTATATTATTGCTGACTCTAGGAAAATACCTTTGCAAAAACTTCTACCATGTTACAAATGAAAATTGCTCTTTTTTGCACTCCTTAATAGAGTATGTAGGGTTGCGAGCGAACCAAACGTTAAACGAGCTACTCGTTGCTCGGTTCGATTAAAACTCGTTTGTGATCGTTTAACTAACTAAACAAACAAACTTGAACAACATTTTTAATACTCGATCATTAAATAAACAAGCTTGAATACAATGTGTTTGGTTTATTTAAATGTTCATATTTATGTTCACAAACAACATCATTTGAAGATCGTGAACAAGCTCGAGTTTAAGCTCGATAAAAAAACTCGATAAAAGCTCGATTCTTGTTTGATTTAGAACTCGCAAATAATCATAAAGATTAATTATATTTTCATTTTAAACGGATAATTTCTTTTATTATAAATTTAATTTCATTTTATTTTATAGCTTCAATAGAATGAATTTGTTCATGAACAAGAGACATTTCACATTTGTCAATGTTTGTTAGATTGTTTGTTTAAGATGTTCAAGAACAAATATAAAATTAATCATAGATCGTTTGTTCGTGAACAAGCACATTTAGTAGCTCGAATGTACTAGTTATGTATATATTAATGATCTTGCTAATTTGATAACTCAAGAATACTTATTAGATTCTTTCATGACCGTGCTTGTTTGATATTGTAAAAAAATTTACTAAATATGTTCGCGAACATAGCTCGTTAAGGCTTGTTTGTTTAAAGCTCGATAAGCACTAAATGAACCGAACATGAACCAAACATGAACACAAACAATAAAGCTCGGATCAAACACGAACCAAACTTGAACAAGCTAATATTAAACAAACTCAAACATGAACACTCATATACTCGACTATGTTCGGTTCGTTTGCAGCCCTAAGAGTTTGTTGTACCTTCATTGACGATGTACAAACACCTAAGTCCATATTCAAGAGTGGTATCATGTCGGATTCAAGTGGAGTTGGCCTCAAATCAATATAGAAAAAATTTGATTTCAGCTTGAGACTAGTTCGAGTACCAATGAAAATTATCAATTTCAGATTGATTTTGAGTCAATTCACGCCAATTATCTTAGGTTTAAAATATTATTTTCAAATTTCATAAAATATATATATATATATATCTTAAATAAGTTGTTAATCATTGTTCTAACTTTAAATTAGTTCCATACCAACCACACTTATAAGGTCATCTAATGCAAAAGCTCAAATTGAGCAACAAAATAAAGTAGAAAACTTCTAGAGGAACCAGCGGTTTGGTAAAATAAGTAGCTAAACATACATAAAAACTTTGTAATTTTGTATTTGATAGTTATAGAGAATAGTTCTATAAAACAAACTTCTTGTTTTCGTATTCTTAATTACTTTGTGTACCAAAGCAAATCATTTTTTAGAAATTCTAGACTTGAGCAAGTCTGCCACAACTTGAGCAAGTCAAATTGCATGCACACGTCCAATGTGAATATGGTTAATTTAAGTTGAGTTTCCAGTTAATTCTATTCAAGCCTATTATACTCACAAAGTATTTTTTAAATAAAAAAAAAGCTTCAATTATACATAAATGTATATTTTTATATATATTAGTAAACAAGTAAATAATGAGATATAAATTATTCCATGTTATCATGAATATTGGCACACAAATTTGTACGTGTGCGTGCACATGTGTGCGCACGCAAACACCTTTATACAACCGTCAACCCCCCTCCCCCAAATCGTTTAAAGTTCAAGCAATTACAGAGTGAGCTATAAATTTCAAGTATTATTAGCAGCATCAGCTCAAGTTGTAGAACAAAATTGTGAAGCCAGGTTCAAAGCATCAACCTTACAACAATTCATTGCAAGTTGGCTAGATCTCCTATTTTTTTAGCAATTGAAAAAGGAATCTCATATCCAGTTATCCACGAAAGTTAAGAAGCATTGAACCATTGACCCATCAGTACAGAAAGAAAATGACTTAATAAAGGGTATAAGGTGAAAAAAAAAAACTCATACAAATGGTGCATACTCCATGAGTATGATATCATTTTGGGGAGCACATTCATTACATAATAACATCAAAGCATTAAATTTTCTCATCCTTCTATTTACCCCATACACATATTCAATCCTAAACCATGAAAGATTTATAGTCTAGTTCCTCCCAAAAAAGGACGTAAGGCATTGCATAAACAAGAAACTAAGTCTTACGATCATGAAAAGAGGCGTACTATATAAATAGTCAATATGGGACTGCAAAAAAATTAACAAAACAGTATAATTAGAAATGCAACCCTTTATACTGTGTATCAGGAGAAACTCTTCAGTGCCTTTAATATTCTCATTTACTTATTCTAAAGGAACATCATTATCATCATTATTATCCCTGTAAAACCTATTCGGTATTAGTTGTAAGAACTCTGCTTGATCATTCCTTGCTATTAGCACTGCATGTGAATTCTTGTCTATGTAAATCATTTTGCACAACTTTAATTGCATGTGAGCTCTTAAACTATCTACATTGAAATTATGTTGGTAAACCAACTTCAAAGGCATGACTTAGCCAATATCATGGAGATTACTTAATGTTGCTAATTCCTAAATAAAATATGCATGATACTTAGAATATCCTGAATTCAAAAAGTAAATTAGCATCAGAATCATTAGAGCTATTTTAAAAAAAGGCATGAAACATTCTTCATGTTTTTGATTGGTCCAATTGATCAACTTTATCTAATAGGATATTAATTGAGTTCCTTTTAGATCTGACCTTACAAAATGTCGCCAACCTTCCAAAAATTGTCAATTCTTATATGATAAAAATCACCAGCAAGATTTAATATTATGAAAATCCAATCATCTTCCCCAAATTGATCATGGTAAACTCTACCTT